GAGCATCTTCGGCACCACCAGAGACATCAGCTCGGAAATATACATCGTCGCGGGTAACAGCCGCGACAACACCCCAGCTCCTGCCCTTCGAGAGCCATGACGGCGGCGGCGGCACGCCCCCAGGACGAGCAGAACCAGCGAGCCAAGCCACCTCCTGCGTGGCTCCTGACGGGCTCCTCCCTTGCCTCGCTGCCCTCTGGAAGAGACGATTCGGCGCCTCCTGCATCGAAGAGGCACAAGGACGGCGACAAGGACGGCGACAAGACGATGACGGCGGTCGAGGGCGCAGCCAAGGACGGCGGCAAGGGCGGCAAGGGCAAGAGCAAAGGACATCGAGGTGGCCGACGCGGACGACGAGGTGCGAACCACACGGACAAGAAGTGGACCTCGAAGGACGCCAACATGCAATCCCTCCTCAGCACCCTGTGCAAGCTCACCCTTCAGAACACGTTCAAGCTGAGGATGATGGCGGCAACCATCATAGACACCTTCACGGTCGAGAAAGATCACGAGGTGGTGCAGAAGCTAGAGGCCGTGCTGGTGGGCTACCGCAAGGCCATCGAGGAGGCGAGGCAGACGGGAATCGAGGCCCTCCAGAAGATCGGCAGCCCCGTCGCCTCGCTCGTGGTAGGCCTTCTCGAGAGCTTGATGCGCTGCGACATTGGCGGCAAGAGCAAGAAGGACATCGCAGCGTACTTGGACGGCATCACCCCAGCGGCACCAGGAGTAGAGCCAGTAGTCACGAGGATGAATATAGAGCTCGACGTGGCCGCGATCAGGGTCGAGAAATGCCACGACGATTCCAGAGTGAAAATCCAGATTGCGGCCCCGCAGTGGCCAATGAGAGGTGCAGTGACACACGCGTTTATTTCAGAGGGGCGGGCCACCCGCCACACAGGCCCAGCCCCTCCAGGCTGGCTGGAGGACGAGCTGGCGAGTTGGCTCGAGGTCCTCAAGTAGTGTTTGTTAGAGGTGGCATCCTAGGGGGCACCATCGCTGCACCTCCTCCCTCCTCCTCCCAGCCCGTGGCGCCTGCAGTCGACCTGGTCGACGACGACTACTGTCCTTTTGACTTCGACTAGGGCGCACACGCATTGGCCCGTGCCGAATGCCTCTCCGTCCTTTTCCTGCCCCTCCAGGCTGGCTAGAGGACGAGCTAGCGAGCTGGTTCGACGTTCTCAGCAAGTAGTGTTTGTCAGAGGAGAAACCTTAGGGGGCACCGCTGCTGCATCGACTCCTGCCTTTTCCCAGTCTGCCGCGCCTGCCGTCGATCAGATCTAAATGTTTTGTCTCTCCCTGGGCCTAAAGGGGCTTCAGATATACGCTGTCACGGTGTCCGCGATATACGCTGTCACGGTGTCTGCGCTGGCCCCTCTCTTCTGCTTCTGTCCGCTTGACTTCGACGAATAGGGCGGCCCCGCATTGGCCAGCGCCGAATGCCACTCTGTCCTTTTTCCATCCCTTTGCAGCATGGCGCACGGGGCCTCCGAGAGAGGCGCAATTCACCCTCGCATGCAGTCTGACCCCCGCCTCGGCGTCGCAGCATCGCCGTGCGCACTCGCCTGCATAGCTGTGCCAGGATAGGACGGGCAGGAGAAGCCCGATCCAGCGACGGGCCGCCTTCAATATACACGTTTGCTGACACGCATCAGCTTGGCACATGGCCCCACTCGTCGAGTAAAAGAAAAGCTCCTCCTCCTCCTCCTCCTCCTCCTCCTCCTCCTCCTCCTCCTCCCCCCCCTTCCTCCTCCTCCTCCTCCTCCTCCTACTCCTCCTCCTCCTCCTCTTCCTCCTCCTTCTCCTCTTCCTCCTCCTCCTCCTCCTCCTCCTCCCCCTCCTCCTCCCCCCACCACCTCCCCCTCCTCCCGCATCCTGGCTTCATCGCGAGTTCAATCCAGCCTAAGCCCGTAATCCATTGTTCTTACGAAGACTTACCTCCCAAGTTCACTGGCGAGATGCACGCTGGTGCAGGCAGCGCCCGGGAGCGGGTGCGGCAGAGATCGGCCTGGGGCGGCCCTCGCAGCCAGCTGCGGCGCCACGCGACTGATCGCCGGGCGCCTTCGCCGAAGAGCCTCCCCTCTCCTTCGGTCCACGTGCTTTGGCTCCTCCCATCTCGGCGTCGCGGACAGAAACAGGACGGCCGGTCTTTCTGTGATGTCTGCCGCTGGGAGGCGGCGCTGTCGGGGGCATCCCGGCCGTCAACGGCCCGTCAGAGGCGTGAACAAAAACTACGACATCGCAGGTCCGTAACCATTTTGGCCTAACCCCGTTTGGCTCGAGCTGGAGCAGCTGTGGATATAGGAAGACAGGTGCATTGAGTCATAGGCGTAGCATGGGGATCAAGACAAAGGAGCCGTGGCAGGGATATGTGGTCAGTGCGTGTGGCAGTGCGGCTGCAGACTTGATTTGCACACCTCTGGACGTCGTGAAAACTAGATTGCAGCTATCGAGGAGTGGGGTCCTCGGCGAGGTATACAAGGGCCCCATTGATTGCGCAACAACTATCTTGAAAAATGAGCAAATACGGGGCCTATACAAAGGACTTAGTCCAGCGCTCCTCCGAGCTTGTACGTACGGGAGCGCTCGCATCGGGCTCTACGAGCCAATCAAGCAGTTGATAGCTGGTGACAAACCTGCAGACCAGCTCCCCATGGGATTGAAGATTCTGGCTGGCGTTAGCAGTGGTGGATTGGCGTCCTATTTGTTTAGCCCAGTTGATTTGGTAAAAGTCCGGATGCAGGGTGACAGGACAGGTAATATGTATCCAAGACTTTTTCAAGCTTTCTGTTCAATTGCCAAAACTGAAGGTATCCGAGGCATGTACAGGGGGTCATCCGCAACTGTCGCTCGAGCAGCGACTTGTGGCATGGTAGAGTTGGTGACGTACGAGGAGTTCAAGGGGTTCATGATATCAGCAAGTTGGTGGCCATATCGCGATTCGTTCCCAACACACGTGGTTGCTTCAATGGCGGCTGGTTTCTTCTCCACTGTTGCCAGTGCGCCAATCGATTTGGTCAAATCACGCATGATGAATCAGCCATGTGACTCTGCTGGTACACCAAAGCTTTATGCATCTCCAACCCAATGCTTACGCCACACTGTTGTACATGAAGGCGTCCTTGGGCTTTACGCTGGATTTTGGCCCAGCTATTTGCGGCTGGGTCCTCACACAGTTTTGGTGTTTGTTGTGGTAGAACAAATTAGGCATGGCATGAATTGGGCGGCGTAGACAGCGTACCACAAACATGCTTCACACCATCTGTCCAAGCTACCAACGCGGTCTATTATGCAGCTGAACCGGCTTCAATAACAAACTCGGGCAAGAGATCTTGTAGCAGGAGAACCCTTGGCCGAAGGTGTATCATATCCGGCACAGTCAAGCGGTCCCGAGGTTAGCAGTTGTTCAACTTCACCACTTATCCCAGATCTCCGACGTCGTGTTGTTTTCAACGTGGACCTCTGGAGGTCTGGACCACTTCCCTAGGACGGCTTTTCATTCCGATCCGTTTTTTGTTGGTCCTGGGGACGGGTGAGGGCCCCCAGGAGGGCGAAAATCGCCAAATATCGCCGTCGTTTTGTTCACGACGAGAGGTGGGGGATACACTACGACCATGCGCGGGTGTATGGCGCTTGTGATTGTGATGAGCGGGGTCGTCAACCCTCTAAGTGTATTGGCGGTTGCATTGTCAGTTCGCTCACGCGAACCGGCATGATTGATTGTGATCCTTGCGAGCCTCGCCCGGATTGGGCCCGTATAAGCGAACCAGTGTTTCGTTTTGAGTATGAGCGGTTTCCATGTTCGCTCGGAAGTCGGAGACCAAGCCAAAACTATCCCCGATAGCACCTTAATCTCCTGCTCGCACATAAAGTGTAATGGCAGCATCATGGTGGTGGATGAGGGCAAAGGATAACGAGCTGTGCCCCTGTTACACTATTTCCACTTGCGTTACTATGCCTGCTCGTCCTACACCACCTACCCTCTCTACTGCCTCTTCTTTCTCTACTCCCTGCTTACTCCACTCAACTCTCAATCCTCTCCCTGCTCACTACTCTCCCCCTCTGCTCAGGATACCTGCCACTCTGCACCCCAGCCCTCTACTGTCTGTTGATGACCTGTTACCATACACTCATAAAACCCAGAGCCCGGGACTGTGAACCTGGAGGCTGGGACCGTGGGAACCCCGCCACGCACCGAAATCGGCGGCACATGTGTACCACAATGCTCGCCAGCATTTCAGAGTCACCCCTCGGACTTGTCGTGTGGCGCTCTCTGCCCTGAAATTTGAGACGGGCCCAGCCGTGGCGACGAAACCTCCCACAGGCCAATTCAGGTTCGAAATCATTATGAAAACTATGTTCGATCCTCGCTCATTGATCGTATTTGGCATGGGTGTCAAGGACAGCCCAGGCCTTGGAGGGGTAACCTTATGGTATTCCCGCGCGGGCCCTCCACATTGGAATTGTTGACGCTTCGCGTATCCCCACCAGTTTCCGTAGCCCCCTTGGCTCAAGAGAGAGAGAGAGAGCGCCGCACGCACGGGGAGCGCGGCCGCGGGGGCGCGCCCCCTCAGCGGCGGCCAGCGCCCCGTGGCCAGGCCGGCAGGGCGCCGCGCGCCCCCGCGCGCCCCGCGCCGATGGACGTGCTGGGCTCCTCCGACGACGAGGGCCGCTTCGAGCCGTCCGACACGCAGGTGGCCAAACTGGCGTCCCTGGTCGAGTGCGACCCCGCCGTGTGCCGGAGGGCGCTGGGGCAGGCGAGGGGCGACGCCGACATCGCCGTCCAGTTCATCTTCGACAAGAGGGTCGAAGTGGCGGCGCCCTCGCCCGCGGCGGCGGCGGCGGCGGCCGTGCCGACGGCCCTGCCGGCGGCCCGGGCCGCGCAGGCGGCGGCGCAGGCCGCCGCGCCGCCGGCCGCGGCCCGGCGAGCCGCCGCGGCCCCCGAGGGGCCGCTGCCGGCGCCGAAGCGGGCGAGGACGGGGCGGCGCGGGGCGGCGGAGGAGGGGGCCCCGTGGCGGCCGTTCGAGGACGGCGGCGTCGGCGGCGAGGCGTGGGCCCGCGGCGTGCTCCGGAACGCCCAGCCGGGCCTGTCGCTGCGGGGGCTGCCGGACGCCGCGACGTGCAACGCGCTGGCCAAGGCACAGGGGCGCGGCGTCAGGACGGTGCACGAGGCGCCGGAGGACATACCGCCGCCGCTCCTGGGCGGCGACAGCGAGGAGGACGGGGCCGTCACCCGAGGCATCGCGCTGCGGTACCAGTTCGAGGCCCTGCTGAACGAAGTGCGCTACCCTCCGAGCGCCCTGCAGTGCAGCTGGCGGCTCCCGCCGGCGGGGCACCCCGTGCCCGAGGACCTCGTTGACGACGTCCCCCCGCGACCCTTCGAGCTCCGGAGCAACGCGGACAGCGCCCCGGCGCCTCAGCCGCCGCACTTCGCGCAGCACCCCCTGCGCCCAGAGCAGCTCAAGAGCCTGGGCTGGATGCTGGAGCAGGAGTGCGGTCGTGGCCTGGGCCCGTTCCAGGTCGAGTGGCGGCGCTACTGGACCACCAAGCCGGAGGAGATCGACGAGAACGCGTGCATGAGCTTGGTGTCCCGCGGCATGCGGGTGTCGATTACGCCCGCACGATGCCTCAAGAACAGTCCCCAGGAGAAGACGGTGTATAGGGAGGTCTGCGGTCACTGTCTCGTCGCCTTCTGGTGACGACATCGACTGCCCCGTCAGCAAGCTCGACGGCCTCTCCCTTCACGAGGTCATGCCGTTGCCGCTGGAGGCTGGCTGCCTCGTGCGAGTTCGCGGGGACGTGGCCGTCCCGAAGTACGGCTGGGGAAACATCGACCACGACTGCTTGGGAGTGGTGAAGAGCGTGCAGAACGAGGATGTGCTCGTCTTGTTCGACAAGTCCGTGCGGGCCAGGACTTGGCACGGGATGAAGAGCGAGATGGAGAGGGTGTCCCTTGACACGGCGGGATCGAGCAACAACATGCACCCTGAGCTCCGGGTCCAGGCTTCTTACGACGTGAGGGGCGGCATATTGGGGGACAAGATTGGCTTCGGGAAGACGGCCACGACCATCGGCCTGATCGATGCCACGTCCGCGTCTCCCCTGCCAGCGGTCCCGGCGATCGATAGGGGCAGGTTCATCCCCGCGAAGGGCACGTTAGTGATCGTGCCCTCCAACCTCTTCGAGCAGTGGCTGACCGAGATCTCCAAATTCACGTGGGATGGCCAGAACCTGAAGAAGAGGATGTCCAGGGGCTGGTCTCCTGCCGGCTGCCCCCTGCGGGTCTTCGCCGCTTGCGACGTGCGCGCCGTCGCCGCGGCGAAGGCTTCGTCGCTGGCGGAGGCCGACGTCGTGCTCTGCTCCTACCGGCTGCTGCACTCGCAGGTTTACTTGAACAGGCAGAGAGAGCTTGTGAATTGCTGCGCAGAACTGGGAGCGGTCACGGGGTTATCGGCGTTGCACAAGCTGGAGCTGGTCACCGAGTCGCTCATGCAGGGTCACGGCCAATTTCATGTGCCCAGCGGCAAAGCCGTTCGTGAAGACCGGCGCTACGAGTCCACATGGCAAGAGCTGAGGTTCCCCCTCCTGGAGATGTTCTACTGGCGCAGAGTGGTCTTCGATGAGTTCCACGAGCTGGAGAGCTTCGAGAGCGCCCAGCAGAACATCCTGCAGCACCTCCGGTCGCACTTCCGGTGGGGCCTCACCGGCACTCCTCCCGTGGACACCACTGCGGGTGCCATCTTCATGTCCTCCCTGTTCCGAGTCGACATCATAGGCGGAGGCCCGCGTTGGCTGAAGAATCCGACGCGCCCAAACTTGGGGGAGTTCGAGACCGACTGCCTCGTCACGTCGCACGCGGAGAGCTTCGTGGGGCACTACGTGCGCCAGAACGTCGCGGACCTGCCCCACATCCGCGTAGAGCACAGCACCGTGCTCGTGACGCACTCGGCCGAGGAGCGGGCCGTGTACCTGGGGCAACTCCACGACTCGCCCGCGCGGTCCGACGAGAGCCTCTCCTCCCCGGACGGCAGGGTGAAGGACTCGGCGTTCGAGGCCCTCGAGAGGCTGCTCAAGCTGTGCTCCCACTTCCAGCCCGGGGGCGAGACCAGCTCGGACGCCAAGGAGGAGGGCAGCCGGCTGGGCCAGAAGCGCGTGAAGCGGGTCGCCGCCGCGAGGGGTCGCGTGGAGCGCGGGTGCCGCATCCTCCGGCTGCTCAGCGTCAAGGCCGACGCCCTGGGCCGGCAGCCGCCGCCGGGGCCCGGGGCGGAGGCGGTGGCCCGCCTCGTGCAGACGGCGGGCGGCTGGCAGCAGAGCGTCACGGCCGCCGCGCAGGCGCTCCGCGCGCAGGGCGAGGGCGAAGCGGGGGCGAGCGTCACCGCGGCGAAGGAGCTGCAGGAGGTGATCACGGGCCTCGGCGGCGAGGACGAGGAGCAGCTCCTGAAGGCGATGGACGGGGTCCGACCGGCGAGCGGGGCGCTGCTGGCGCAGCTGGGGCCGCAAGAGCCGCGCCGCGGGTACACGCGGGAATGATGGGGCGCATTCGTGGCGGCGCCCACGGAGCCGGGTGCGCTCGCGCCGCTCGTCGAGGAGCAGCTCTCGGAGGTCGCGGCCGCCCTGCAGGAGCTGAAGGACGCGCTGCGGAGCCACCAGTTCTTCCAGCAGGCGCTGGCCGCGCTGGCGGATTCGGCCGAGGCGAGGCACTGCTCGGTCTGCCTCGAGGACGACCTGCCCCTCACCAAGCTGGCGATCACGCCCTGCGCCCACAGCTTCTGCATCGACTGCCTGCGCAAGACGGTGCAGCAGTTCAAGAGCTGCAGCATCTGCCGGCAGCAGCTCAGTCCCGGCGACGTGGCGCCCGTCTCCCTCGAGCTGAACTCCTGCATTGCTGGCGGGGGCTCCTCGTCCTCGTCTTCGTCCTCACCGCCAGTGGCCGCTGCGCCCCCGCCGGCGCCCGAAGGTGCGCCTCCGCGGGACGAGCGGCTCCGGCGGTACGGCGCCAAGCTCGCGCTCTTGGTGGGGAGATTGTGGGCGCTGCGCCAGGCGGACCCGACCGCCAAGGTAATTCTTTTCGTGCAGTTCGACGACCTGAAGCGGAAAGTGGCCGCGGCGCTCGCGGAATTCGGGGTGCCCAGCGTCACGCTGCACGGCAGCGTCTCGCAGCGCGGATCTATCATCAACGATTGGCAGAACAACGCGGGGTCGTCCACCTTCGTGCTGCTGCTGTCCCTGGCGCAGAGCGCCTCCGGTACCAACCTCACCGCGGCGAGCCACGTGGTGTTCTTGCACCCCATGCTCGCCGAGACCGCCGACGTGGCGGTGGGCTACGAGGAGCAGGCGATCGGAAGAGCGGCCCGGCACGGGCAGCAGCGGGACGTGGTGCACGTGTGGCGCTTCGTCACCGAGGGCACGGTCGAGCAGACCATCTCGGACCGCAACATGGCGGCCATGGCGGCCCGCGAGGCAGCTGGTCACCGGGCGCCCGCGCCGGCCGCGACGCGCGCGCGGCAAGGGCGCTGCAAAGGCCGCGGCAGAGGCCGAGGCCGCGGGGGGCGCGGCCAGGATGACCTTTGGTACTTCCCCGACCTGTCGGCCCATTATGCCGATCTCTTCGGTAGTGGCTCCGACCCCGACTCTGGCATGGAGTTGGCATGGCCGCGCTGACCCAGGCGATTCGACCCCCGACAGCCTCGCCAGCCCACCTGAGGCGCACCCGGCACCCTGCCGCTTAGACGGGCGCTGCTTGGCAGCTACTCTGCAGATTGGCCAGGAGGCGCCTTCCAGGAGGAGGGGTTCCCCTGCAGCGCAGGACTCTAGGATTGTCGGCGCTTCTTCTGCCCCTCCGGAGCGCGCACAGTGGCCTGCATGCGGCGGGCTAGCTCCCACCCCTTTCCTCCCCTCCCCTCCTCTTTCGCCCCGTCATTCTCCTCCTGCGCTTCCGCCCCCTGTCAGCCGATTCATCCCGCGTCGACGGTCTAGAGCTCTCTCGCCTCTCCCAGCGCGCGCATCACCAGTGCGACGACGCGACCAGCGCCATGGCAGCGCCGGTGCACAGGAGGGCGTCCACGCGCAGGTGAAAAGCGGAACAAAAAATTAGCCTGGCGAAGGACCCAACCATATGCAGCTGCGAGTACCGCACGGATATGAGACGAAGGAGAGGGCACGCAAACTAGGCCCCTCTTCTCATAGGCACCGCGCCACTGGGGCCTTCGGTGGAGCTCCCTATGGGGCCACGAAACGTGTGAGGGGTGTGCCGAAATGGGTGGTGGGGAGGCATGCGGACCCTGCCACTGGGGCCTTCGGTGGAGCTCCCTATGGGGCCACGAAACGTGTGAGGGGTGTGCCGAAATGGGTGGTGGGGAGGCATGCGAACGCAGCCACTGGGGCCTTCGGTGGAGCTCCCTATGGGGCCACGAAACGTGTGAGGGGTGTGCCGAAATGGGTGGTGGGGAGCCACTGGGGCCTTCGGTGGAGCTCCCTATGGGGCCACGAAACGTGTGAGGGGTGTGCCGAAATGGGTGGTGGGGATGCATGCGACCCCTGCCACTGGGGCCTTCGGTGGAGCTCCCTATGGGGCCACGAAACGTGTGAGGGGTGTGCCGAAATGGGTGGTGGGGAGGCATGCGAACGCAGCCACTGGGGCCTTCGGTGGAGCTCCCTATGGGGCCACGAAACGTGTGAGGGGTGTGCCGAAATGTGTGGTGGGGAGGCATGCGAACGCCAAGCCCCATTTGGGGCCTTCGGTGAAGCTTTCCCTATGGGGCCACGAAAACGTGTGAGGGGTGGTGGCCGAAATGAGGTGTTGGGGAGGCATTGCGAACGCAGCCACTGGGGCCTTCGTGGAGCTCCCTATTGGGGCCACGAAACGTGTGAGGTGGTGGGTGCAGAAATGGGTGGTGGGGAGGCAAATGCGAACGCAGCCACTGGGGCCTTCGGTAGCTCCCTATGGGGGCCACGAAACGTTGTGAGGGTGGTGCCGAAAATGGGTGGTGGGGAGGCATGTGCGAACGCAGCCACTGGGGCTTCGGTGGAGCTCCCCATGTGCCGAACTGAAACGTGTGAGGGGTGCGCCGAAATGGTGGTGGAACTGCATGCGGACCCTGCCACTGGGGCCTTCGGTGGAGCTCCCTATGGGGGCCACGAAACGTGTGAGGGGTGCGCCGATATGGGGGTGGAACTGCATGCGAACGCAGCCACTGGGGCCTTCGGTGGAGCTCCCAATGGGGCCACGAAACGTGTGAGGGGTGTGCCGAAATGGGTGGTGGGAGGCATGCGAACGCAGCCACTGGGGCCTTCGGTGGAGCTCCCAATGGGGCCACGAAACGTGTGAGGGGTGTGCCGAAATGGGTGGTGGGGAGGCATGCGAACCCTGCCACTGGGGCCTTCGGTGGAGCTCCCTATGGGGCAACGAAATGTGTGAGGGGTGTGCCGAATGGGTGGTGGGGAGGCATGCGAACCCTGCCACTGGGGCCTTCGGTGGAGCTCCCTATGGGGCCACGAAACGTGTGAGGGGTGTGCCGACAAGGTGTTTGGGAGGCAGCGAAGTGGGGAGATGAGGGAGGGCGAGGAGAAGATGAGAAAAGGAACGCGGGTACTCGCTTCTTCAAAACAGGCCCCAACAACCGCAGGTGTGTGGGATCCAAAATTTGACTGCGCGCCATTTTGGCTGCGCCTGGCTCGCCCGAGGGCTGACCTTCAGACTCCCTGGGTTGCAGCTTGCACGACCGTCTCTGGTGGCTGACCTTTCAGACTCCCTGGGATTGCACGACCGCTGGCCTCTCAGACGCCCTGGGTTGCCGCTGCTTGCCGCCTGATCCGCGGCCCCGCGCGCGCTCGGGAATTTAGTCGCGGCCGCAGCCCGACCGTGACTGTTCGCCGCTGGCGCTTCCGCCTGCGGCTGTAAAAAAAAAAAAAAATCCCGGCAAAGCACCCAACACGATGTGTACAGCTATATGGAAGCATTCACTTTACGATTCAGATGAAATCCCGTTGCAGAATTCTGCTGTTCTCGCAGTCGTAAGTCGCATTCGCGATGGACATCCGCAGTGGCAACGGCAGTCACAGTCTCGATAGGAGCCTCCAGCCTCAGCCGCCCTCAGCCGCAGCCTCAGCCTGCCTCAGCCTCAGCCTCAGCCTGCCTCGGCCTGCCTCAGCCGCCTGAGCCTCAGCCTCAGCCTCAGCCTCAGCCCGCCTCAGCCTCAGCCTGCCTCGGCGTCAGCGTCAGCCGCTCAGCCTCAGCCTCAGCCTGCCTCGGCCTCAGCTTCAGCCTGCCTCAGCCTCAGCCTGCTTCAGCCTCAGCCTCAGCCTGTCTCAGCCTCAGCCTCCAGCCTGCCTTCACCTGAGCCTCAAGTCTCCTTCACCTCGGCGCTCAGCCTCAGCCTGCCTCATCCTCAGCCCGCCTCAGCCTCAGCATCAGCCTGCCTGCAGCATTCAAAATCATGCCCGGGAATGGAGTTCTGGGAGCTCGAAGACCTCGAAGTGGCCTACAGTTGGCTCCGGGCATTCAAAATGTGGCCCGGGAATGGAGTTCTGGGAACTCGAAGAACACGAAGTGGCCTACAATTGGCTCCGGGCAATCAAAATGTGGCCCGGGAATGGAGTTCTGGGGACTCGAAGACCACGAAGTGGCCTACAATTGGCTCCGGGCATTCATGTTGGCCGTGCATGGAGTTCTGGGAAGTTCGAAAGATCAGCACGAAGTGGCCTACAGTTGGCTCCGGGCATCCAAAATGTACGCCAGGAATGGAGTTCTAGCAGCGCCAAAAGCGATTTTGCGAGGATGTCCTCAGCGATTTGGGCTTCGACGGCAGCCGCGCCGGGCCCCGCCGCCCCGACCCCCCTGAGGAGTCATGATGCTCTCTTTTGACCCCACTAGAAACCTATCAGTCTTCGCTGTTAAGTAAAAATATCACGACAAAGCAACCTAACAGCGATGTGTAGGAGCATATCTGGAAGCATTCCCCTTCATATTCAGATGAGAATCCAGTTGTAGAGTTCTGCTGTTCTCGCATTCTAGTCGCATTCGCGATGACAGTCGCAGTGGCAACGGCAGTCGCAGTCACAGCCTCAGCCTCAGCCTGCCTCAGCCTCATCCTCAGCCTGCCTCAGCCTCAGCCTGCCCCAGCCTCAGACTCAGCCTGCTTCAGCCTCAGCATCAGTCTGCCTTCAGCCTCGGCCTCAGCCTAAGCCTGCCTCAGCCTCACCCTGCATCAGCCTCAGCCTCATCCTCAGAGCCTGCTCAAGCCTCAGCCTCAGCCTGCCTCAAGCCTCAGCCTCGCCTGCTTCACCTCAGCCTCAGTCTGCCTTCAGCCTCGGCCTCAGCGCTAAGCCTGCCTCAGCCTCAGCCTGCCTCGGCCGCAGCATCAGCCTGCCTCAGCATTCAAAATGTGGCCCAGGAATGAAGTTCTGGGAACTAGAAGAACACGAAGTGGCCTACAGTTGGCTCCGGGCATTCGCCCAGGAATGGAGTTCTGGGAACTTGAAGAGCACGAAGTGGCCTACAGTTGGCTCCGGGCGTTCAAAATTTGGCCCGGGAATGGAGTTCTGGGAACTCGAAGAGCACGAAGTGGCCTACAGTTGGCTCCGGGCATCCAAAATGTGGCCCGGGAATGGAGTTCTGGGAACTCGAAGAATACGAAGTGGCTTACAGTTGGCTCCGGGCATCCAAAATGTACACGCCGGGAATTGAGTTCTGAGAAGTCGAAGAGCATGAAGTGGCCTATAGTTGGCTCTGGGCATCCAAAATGTACGCCGGGAGTGAAGTTCTAGCAGCGCCAAGAGCGATTTTGCGAGGATGTCCCAAGCGATTTGGGCTTCGACGGCAGCCGCGCCGGGTCCCGCCCCGGGTCCCGCCCCGACCCCCCTGTGGAGTCATTTGCTGCTCTCTTTTGGGACCACTAGAAACCTATCAGCAAAAGCTGTTAGGTAAAAAGTATCCCCACCAGTTCTGCAGACCACCCAGCCAGCTCCCCCCAGCAGCAGCCCCCCGGCAGCCGCTTCTGAGTGCTGGCCCGGCCGTCTCGCGCGTGGCTCGGTAGTTAATTAGGCAGGACCGTGCCCCGGACCCCCCTCTCGGCGACTTGCTTTACGCGTCTGCCCGCTGACCCAAAAAAAGTATCCCCACCAGTGGCGGCTGCGCGTCTCAACGGCCCCGTCCGCCCCCACCCCCGCCCCCCACTCCAGCGGCTCCTCCTTTGGGGCACCCGGGTCCTCCTCCTCCTCCTCCTCGTCCTCCCCCTCCTCGTCCTCCTTGTCCTCCTGCTCCTCCTGCTTTTGATGTAGACTGTGCCCTTTCGTAGGCCGCATTGGGCTGCCTGAGGCCATTTTGGAGCCATCCTGGACGATCCAACGACCCGCCGCCCTCCCACCACTCCTCCAGACCCAGGGAGAGGAGGGATGGAAGATGGCTCAAGTTACCCGCAAGCAGCCGTCTCGCTCACTCCCACCCGCCATCCCAACACAGATGTAACACCCGAGCCTCAGCATGGACAGGGGCCGCCATTGACGACCATCGGGAACCGATGCAGACGCCAGCCAGGTGCGCGAAGCCCGCGAGGTGCGCCGCACGTGCCAGTTGCGCAACGCGCACCAGGTGAGCCACATTGGACACCATGTCGATCCTGCCGCAGTTCCTCCTTGGGGTGTCCAAGTGTCACGCCTGCGCG